CTATTGTCCAACAACCAAAGATTTTAAATGAGAAACTTGCCGAAAAATCCCGACTTATTTAATATTTATCAGAAACTAGCAGAATTTTGTTCGTTATTAAAAAAATACATAAATTAATTTCGATTGGAAACAAAAATACACCATCTAATTTTTTTCTCTGATTTCCTTCATTCGCCATAAGAGCCTTTACCGGCGTTAACCAAATCTTCAATGGTAAATTTATTTACAGAAAAATTCCTAAAAAAATTATTTAATATTTGCTGAAAAAATACCTGAACTTTTTTGCTGCTAAAAGTTACACAACCGTTTGAAGATTTGGTTAATGATGTTAATGACCGTCACAATGAAAGAAGGAAATCGGAAAAAAAAAACTAGGTCTTATTTTTTTTTATTTCCAATCAATATTTTGTATATTTTTTTGACAATAAAAATAATTTAAAAGTTTTCTCACAAATATTAAATAAGTCCAAAAATTTTCAGAAATCTTCCCGATTTTAAATACACAAACTACTCGAGAGTTTTTGTACGTACTCATGTTACTATTAGTCTATTATTATGGTGGACTCATGTTTCAGTTTCACAATAATTATTTAATCAAAACTGGGTTGGTGGATAGAGATAGTTTTACATTTTTGATACATGATAATGAAATTTAGTCGTTAATTATTATTCTTCTTTTCAACTACCTATGATTTAACTCTTTGTTGCTTTCTCCATTAGGTGGTAATACTCAGCGCCTTATACATATAATATTCATTTTAAATTAATTTATTAAAACAAAAAGTATAAAATTATGATATTAGTAGATACAAAAATATTTAAACTAACCTTTATTTTTATAATGAATTTAACAACGTCTGTGTATGTATATTTAGAGGATAAATTGTATGTATATGTGCAAGTAGTGTTTTTTTAGGTTTAAAACAAATTGGAGGTAAAATGTTTTTTGAGGAATATTTTTCTTCAAGTTTCACTCTCAACATTTTTTTCTTCATTATAAACCCCATTTTTCTCTAATCAACAACTCGATCTAATTTGATTTATTTTCACTTTCGTTCTCTCACGCGTATGTTTAAAAGATATTATTTTCTTAATTTTTTCACTAGAAACTATAGCTCTAACAATGACAAATCATGATGCAGATTTCTTTTTTAGACTCAACATCGCTAAACCTAGTTGTTCTTCCTTTTTTTTTTTTTTCTTATAGTTTCCAATATAAATTATCTGTTTTGATAATTAACTAAAACTATTTGACACCAGGTCCAAGTATAGAAATCAAGAGAAATTTGTCATTACTTCAAAACTTTTTATTAAATTATGGACAGTAATGTCTACATTTTAGAAAGCTAGCATTGACGAGCTCGCTAAGTAGTAGATGATTTACATAAAAAAAGTATATACAAGCAAAACTAAAAGTATAAAATAACTATAATTGGAAATAGTGACATCCAAACTATCCCTACCAAAAAAAAAAATGACATCCAAACTATACAATTTTATAATTGCGGAACAACTATTAAAAAAACCAGTATAATTCAAAAGGGACCACTTTAAAAGAAAATTTATCACACACAAAAAATGCATCTGACTGTGTTTTTACCTTGTATATTTTTTTAAAAAATATGATTTGTTAGTTATGAGCATAATTACAAAAAAAAAAAAAATCAGTTAAATAATCCTCAAACGCATACATACAAAATGGTTGAGAAGAAAACTCATGACTTTTTTTTCCACTTAATTTAAAATAAAATTATCAATCTACATAAGATATAACATCAATCAGGCTATACATAAAACAATTTGTAGATAACTTTAAAAGAATATTTTTAAACTTTTGTTAGTTTTTGAATACAATTTTTACATCCTAATTCAATTGGGTTCCTACTAACCCTTAACCATTTCTCTCTCATTAGTCAAGAGTCATGGGTTTCTTTCTAATTAACCATTTTAAAATAATATCATCTAAACAAGAAAAAGGTCTAAATAATTTAAAATTGTTGGAACAATAATTTAATATAAAATGTAATCAAATGTCTAAAATAATAAAATTGTTTAATTCATAATTTAATACTGTTAGTTTAATCTGCTACAAATAATAAATTGATTATAAACATGTTTACACGCAAATCGGAGCCTAATACGTCCAAACTATATCCACCAGTCTCTTCGCTGTCTAAAACATCCGGAGCCTGACCCGACATTTGACCCGGATCCGAAACTCCCACAATCTCCAATACCACCGAAATTCACCTCCCCTAAAACTTTCTCTTCACTTTCCCGGGAAAATCGGCGACCAAAATTGGAAAAATGTACTCAGCGATTCGCTCGCTTCCACTCGATGGTGGACACGCCGCCGGTGACTACCATGGACCTCTTGACGGAACTAATCTTCCCGGCGACGCTTGTTTGGTTTTAACCACTGACCCTAAACCTCGTCTCCGGTGGACAACTGAGCTTCATGAGAGATTCGTTGACGCCGTTACCCAGCTCGGTGGTCCTGACAGTGAGTATTACTTTGTCTACTTATCACCTTTGTTGCTGAAATTTTTGGATCTTGAGATGAAAATGTGTGTTGAGCTAGCTTCTTCTTCTCTTTGCTCAGTTTCTTACTCGCCCTCTTCAAAAATTTCGTCTTTTTTAGGGTTAGGTTGATTTTTCTCTCAAAGTTTTTGATATTTCAGATTTGTGAAGAATATGTCTTGTTACTTGATTCGTTGAAGTTTGTGATTACATGTTCTTGAGACTTGAATTGAGATCTATATAAGTAGTTCTTTATGATTCCCAAAATAGAATCATATGCTGCAGTGTATAAATTTGTTTCCTTTTTCGAAATTAGTCAATTGTAATTAAGTAGTGTCAGTGTCATCTCTGAAAATTTTGAAGCTTGTGGTTTGCTTGTAGCTAAGAATCCTTATTCAAGTTTTGTCTTTTTCTTTCACACTTGTTCAACTAACAGAAGCGACGCCCAAAACTATCATGAGAACAATGGGAGTGAAGGGTCTCACTCTCTACCACCTCAAATCACATCTTCAGGTTTGCTGAACAAAACTGATTCCAGAGTTTTGCTTTCTAACTAATTATTTTTCAGAGTTAATGAGATAGAATTTCAATGACTTGACACCTTAGATTCTGAAATATGCTTGGGTATTAAGAGTTGTATGTAGGTTTGAGTTAAGTTTCATTTATTTGTTACCAGGTTTGACGTGTAATAGCAATAGTAATCCAAAGAATATTTGGTGTTTGATGGTGTTATGTTTCTCTCTTTTGTATGTGTTTTGCTCGACAGAAATTCCGACTAGGGAGACAAGCTGGCAAAGAATCAACTGAGAACTCTAAGGATGGTATCTATTCAGTTGACCTTTTGTTGTTGTTGTTGTTGTCTACATCTCTGTTTGTGAAGCCGTTTGGTTCTACTCTCTATTCATATGGCTATTTGGAATCATATTTGTTAGACACTTCTACACTATATCATGTGAGAGGCACAAGGGTCCCTGTTGTTCTTCTCACCGACGTTGTCAGAATATATATTAGTAAACTGCTCATGGTTTAAGACTTGAAGTTGTCAAACAAAAACTTGTTTTCGAAAAAAGGAAATTAAGATTAACAACTAGTTGGGACCCTGTTTTGATGAATTCCAGTTGTGTGTCCATATCTCGTTGTTCCACTAATTCTGTGAACTGGATGCTGCAGCTTCTTGTGTTGGGGAGAGTCAGGACACAGGTTCATCTTCAACATCATCATTGAGAATGGTGCAGCAGGAGCAGAACGAGTATGGTTACATTTGAATTTTTACTCTCATTTCTCTGCTACTGCTGGTTAGTGAATCACATTTGTATTTTTTTGCATGCCAGGGGTTACCAAGTCACTGAAGCTCTACGTGCTCAGATGGAAGTCCAAAGAAAACTACATGAGCAATTGGAGGTTAGGTCTCTTCATTTCTCTTGACATTGATCTTGAAGCTACAAACCACCATGTTTACAAAAAATTGGCTTCAAAGTTACAAATTAGAGCAGAACCGTTATCCTAAGTTCTGAACCAATGTTCAATCCAAAAATTAAGATGTGGTTGTTACCAAAATTTTTTTTTCTTTTCTGCTGTACATATGAATAGTACTCCTTGTTTCCATCTGTCCTGGCTACCTATTTAGAATGAACAAGCGCGCCCTTGAGAACATTGGCCACTTTTATAGGAGTTTATGCAACATGCTGTGCTTTAAAATGCAAACCTCTGATTGGTCTTTTAGCATGGGCAGGTGCAACGGAGACTCCAGCTAAGGATAGAGGCACAAGGAAAGTACCTTCAATCGATTCTTGAAAAAGCTTGCAAGGCCTTTGACGAGCAAGCTGCTGCTTTTGCTGGGCTTGAGGCTGCTAGAGAAGAGCTTTCAGATCTAGCTATCAAGGTCTCTAATAGCTCTCAAGGAACAACAGTCCCGTACTTCGATGCAACAAAGATGATGATGATGCCATCTTTGTCAGAGCTTACAGTAGCAATAGACAACAAAAACAACATCACAACCAACTGTTCAGTGGAAAGCTCTCTGACTTCCATCACTAATGGGAGCTCGATATCTGCTGCATCGATGAAGAAGCGGCAACGTGGTGACAATTTGGGCGTCGGGTATGAATCGGGATGGATTATGCCTAGTAGTACCATTGGATAAAGTTTAGGAGAGGGAAAAAATCAATATGGGAAAGGTAGAGATAAGATTTAACTCTTCTTTACTTGCTTTGAGGGGCCTGTATTATTCGATACAAACTTGTCATCAAAATTTCATCTTAGCCTACTCATGTATATATTTGACGTTGAAGCTGAAGCTTTAGTGTTTCCTTTAACCTTTGCCTTAATTATTCTTGTATTCAAGAGAAAGGGTTTAAAGGTAGAGACTAGAGACTATAAAGACATAAGAAAAAGATCTATTGATAATATAATAAACATTGAAATGATGAAATGGCCACCAATGTTTGAGCCTTTAAATTTGCTACTATTCGTAATGCCTTTCTTCATTATTCTTTATTCTTTACTTTGTCTACTTACGCCTTGTTCCTCTCATCAATCTTTTCAACGAACATCAGAATTAACATGAGTGAGTTCTCATTTCTCGAAATTTCATATGCTATGTTCTTATGGTTTAATTCATAGTTTTGAAATGCAAAAACCGTGTAGGAAGCATGCTTTGCTGTTGTGTTAACTCGGAGAACAACAGGAAGTATGCAGAGCTGGACGCGAAGCTTGCACGGAAAATGGTGGAGAGCCGGAGGATTTATCCGGGACACCGGAGTTTAAAGTCTATGGATTCAATAATCATGAAGTTTCCTAAGCTAAGAGAAGGATTAAGAAACATCAGAAGCGTTTTCGAAACCTACGGTACGTTTTCTTGATCCTTTTCAGCTTTTTATCAAGATTCCACTCGTTTAAGTTTTTAACATTTTTGTTCTGTGAATATTCGCAGATAGTGATAAAAATGGGACAATCGATATCGAGGAGCTGAAGAAATGCTTAGAGGAACTAAAGCTATGTTTGTCAGAGGAAGAAGTGAAAGGTTTATATGGATGGTGTGATGTTGATGGAAGCAAAGGGATACAATTCAATGAGTTTATAGTTCTTCTCTGTCTCATCTATCTTCTATCAAAACCTTCCTCTGAATCCAACACGGTAATAATCGATGACACGCTGACAGATATATCAAATGTTTTAGCTAAATTGTGTTGTGTTTTTCTTAGGAATCAAAAGAGATGGGTCCAAAGTTGGTTGAATCAATATTTGATCCGATAGTAGAAGTGTTCTTGTTTTTAGACAAAGATGGTAAAGGAAAATTAAACAAAGCTGATGTGATAAAGACATTGAATAATGAAGACTATCCTTTAGAAAGATCTCCTTCACATCTTCACATGTTACCAACATGAGATTTGGTATATAAATCACTCACACTGTTCTCCTTTTCTATGTTTATGGACTAATTTACTCATTGGACTCTTTTTCTTGTGGTGGTGCAGAAGAAATGGATTGGGGAAGAAAAGGGAAAGTGGGTTTTAGAGAGTTTCTATTTGCTTTCATGAGTTGGGTTGGTCTTGATGATGCAGAAGATTATATGACCAGCTAAACAAACAACTTATACCAAAGTTTGCACAATTATATACATCTAAGCTCATTATGTTGTATTTGGTTTCTTATGTGCATATGTACTTTGCTATCAACATGACTCTTATATGCTTGTTTAATTCATTATTTTTCAATGACTATGATTCATTCTTCTCATATGCGACAGTACCAACATCTTCTTGACCACTACTACAAACAAACTATCAACAAGTCAAGATCTGTCTCAATTAAGGACAAGAATTTGGACAAATATACTTGTGATTAAGGACATTGTTCAATAGAAAGTACATGTCCAAGTCTAAGTGATATAAAACTCCAAACGAAGCCAAAACATTAACCACAAACATCAAACTTTCACATTTCAAAAGCACAGAAACAATGGCTCAAAAGAAAGAAGTTACAAACATTTGAAACATGGATCATAATTTCTCATTTATTGTTTCCTTTGCCTCCTCCTGAGCTAGCTGCAGCTGCAGCTTGAGCAGCTTTCTTTGCAGCCTTCTCTTGCAATGCTTTTGCATCTCTAAACCACAATGTAATCAATTAATCAATAACAAGATTAGCTCTGTTATCAAATTCAAGAACCAAATACGAATTAGGTTTTACCTTTCACGACGTTGCTCTGGAGTTAACCCATCATCTTTAGTCTTTCCTTTACCTCCGGTTCGAGCTAGAGCCCTTTCACGATCACGCTCTCTTTGGCTTCCTCGTGCAAAATTCGCAATCAAGAATCAAAGAAAACAATACTAATTTTACCAAAAAAGCACACAAATTTACCAAACCCTTCAAGATTCACGAACCTAACTTCAAAACGATAAGATTGAATGCGGAGAAATCAATGACAATCAACAAAACCCTAAATTTTTTGGAATTTTTCAACCTTGAAGAACACGCAAACCTAATCCAAGTGTGCAAAATTCGCAATCAAGAATCAAAGAAAACAATACAATTTAACCAAAAAAGCACACAGATTTAGCAAACCCTTGAAGATTCATTAAAGGAACTTCAAAACCATACGATTCAATGCGGAGAAATCAATGACAATTAACAAAACCCTAAAATTTTCGGAATTTTTCAACCTTGAAGAACACGCTAACCTAATCTAAGTTTGCGAATTGAACAATCGAAATAACAAAACATAGAACTTAATGAAAGAAACAAAATCAAATTAAAGTAAGAAACAGATTTGGGAAATGGGAAAATAAAAACGAATTGAGAAGGATATGAGTCATGGTGTGATGAAATCTTCGTAGCGAACAAGTGATTCGAAGAGATCAGAGATCCCCGACGATGCTGAAACGAAAAGCCAGAGAACGAAGAAGATTGAGGAAATAAATTCGATTATTTATATGATTTTTTTTGTATATATTATTATTAAATGGGGACAAAATCGTAATTTTAGTTACCAATCGATATTTCTAGGCCTCGACTTTGGTTTTTCTTTATCCGTTTGGTTAGGTTTTGGGGTTTTTCCAATCTTCGGTTTGTTAAATATCCGGTTTGGGACAACGGATTGAGACCGAAATATGATTTCATTTTGGTTTGCCGTAACTTCTGATTGGTAATTTTTAATTTGAGATCAAGCGGAATTCTATTTGTATAATATTTATCAATTATATTTTCTTAAAGTTTTTTGAAGAATTCATTTGAATAACTATTGTCAAATATATATTTTTTAATTGTATAAAAGTTTATATTATTTTATATTTAAATTACTAGAGAACGTTTACATAACTTTCATAAAATAGAAAAACAATTAATATTTTATTCTACTCAAGGACATTTTGGTCCACCTTCTTGAGTCTTCCAATTGTTGTAGCAAGGACATTCTTCTTTATGTCCATACGTTCCCGATGGTACACACAAACATTTGTTGCAACAATAGTTGCAGTAGAACAAACATGGCTTCTTATGAGATGTTGCTGAGCACCGAACATTACATGCCGCAGGACATTCTTCGCACAAATGGACAAAATCATTGAATAAATTAAAAAGTTATTATTTCCTCAACATATATCAGTTAATAAAAGAATAAAAGTGTTGTAAAGAATATTACGTCCAATAGTAAGTGAACCCTCTCCTCCTTCCTGAAAAATAATTTTGAATTAATAAAAATGATCGATAAATCTATTTTTATATCTATTTCTATTTTACATATTTGTTTTCTATTGAATTTTTTTAAGTTTTATGAATACTTTGTGGATTGGACCTGATGGATTTTCTAATTCCTTTGCCTGAAAAAAAAATGAAAAAGTACAAAACTATATATGAATTGGATTGATTCACAAAAATACCCAAAAAAAATGATTTACAAAATAATAGAAGGGAAATATATTAGCAATTTTACATTGGAAAATTGAGTAGCAAATAAAAAGCTGAATACAATAAAGATGACAATGAACTTAGCCATTCTTTTCTTCTTCTTTTTTTTTTCTTTTTTCTTTTCTTTGTTGATGTATGTGTATGTGAGTGATGAATCTATTTATAACCAATAATATTTCATATAGCAAAGTAGAAACCAATTGTCTTTTTTAGTAGTCACGGAAAAAAATATGTATTGTAATAAAACCTATATAGATAAACATTAATTTGTAAGATATTATTGAACATGTAATTAATTTTATAACACAATTCAAATTTTTTAATTCAAAATATATGTTAGTCAATAAAAATAATACATTTGTCATCTTATATATTTGGCTGAATTAATAATTTCCAAAATATATTTCAAAAAAGTAACCTGGGTCTTTTGGACTCTTGACCACTCATCTAGTACTCTTTGTATAGGATAACAAATGATCATGCTAACTAGTGTCAAAAACTCAAGTGCAAGGTAATTTTTTCCATTGATTTGTCTCAGATTTTGTAGAATCATTTTAGAGTCGGTTCTATGATGCATCAATGATTAAGCTAAGAAATTATGTTAAGTAATCTGCCTAACTTAAGTTACACGTTACGCTACAAAGATTCACCTAAACTAAACTATACATGGTGATGCTACATGATTCACCTAAATTTTAAAACCGATAATTAACCCAAATGAAAATGCAAATATATTTTGCATAGTATCATAATACTATTACTTAGGGAGTACACATATCCAAATATATGTTGCCAATTTCAGTGGTCAGCACAATATATTTCCTTTTTTCCTTAATTATTAGTATTTATTAGGAATTTAGGATTTTCCTTTTTTATGAACCGAACCCTACTCTTGTATGGATTTCCAAACAGCTATATATATATAGAGATAGGAAAGCTTACCTTTTCACTCAACATAAACAAAGAAAAATCAAAGATCAATTATCTGAGAATATGCCTATGACGACGAAAAATTCTCCGATAGAGTCTCTAAAACTCCCCACTGATTACTCTCGGGAGGAGTTTGAGAGAGCTTGCGAGTTCGTGAAGCAAGTAAAAGAGATTGATGAAGAACAAAACCACAGAGGAATCTTCATTCAATATATCACTGCAATGAAGCTTTATCGATCTGGATCTTTGGACATGGTCGAGGTCAAAAACAGAATCACGACCATTTTCAAGAACTGCGACGTTTTGCTCGATGGCTTTCATAGGATTATGAAAGATTCGGATTGTCAAGACCATATCGTTGTTCTTAAACGAATGGTGGGGTTCTTGAAGGCGTTGGCGAAAGGGTCCGAGAGATTACGACTAGGGTTAATGGAGGCTTTCGTGAGATTCAAGGAACATAAAGATGGACAGGTTCTGAAGGAACAAGTTGACCTTATGTTACGAGATTATCCTTGTCTATAAGAAGAATTTAGGAGGATACTACACTAGAACGGTTTGGTACAAGATGATGAGAAACGAGAGGAGATTACGTTTGATAGAGAGGATGAGATGTTCAAAGATGACATGTACTTTCATTCTATAGAATCAGCCATTAAGTTTGCGGCGGAGGAGGAGGAGGATAAAAAGAAGACGCCGCCGGCGGGTGTTTATGGAGCCATGAGAAGCTCTTATGCACAAGAGCGTAGTTTGAAAGATCCGAAACTTAAAACTTTTATTGCCACGAGGATTCATGAAAGATCCGAAACTTGCGGTACGAAGAGATTTATCAACTTTGCAGTGTAAGCACAACGAGTTGCTCAAGAACAAGAAGAGAAGAGAGTTGCTTAAGAAAGTGCAAGAGGTGAATGAATCATTGATTGTTTATAAGGAAAAGACAATCAATGCAAAGTATTTGGTTTAAGAAAAGGACAATAGAATGTTTTCATAAACAGTAGAATGTTTTCATAAACAGTAGAATGTTTTCTTTTTTTTTGTTAAGGAAAGTATTTTGTCTATTAGAAAAGGGAATTTTACAGTAAACCTCTAATTTTATAGAAGGTGAAGAGAGTAATGCACAAGTACAAAACAGAGAGACTCATTGTAAACCTGTAACACTGAACTAAGCAACCAGAGGCAAAGTTAAAGTGTTAACCAAAAAAATACAATACTATATCATATTGAAATCTCCCAAGTAACTAGATGAAGCTCAACTACAACCGAACAACAAACGTTTTCAGGTAAACTAACAATACACAACTCTTTAGAGAAACATGAGATTCTCAACCTGACCAGAGAAGATAGAGGTTGTAGATTTATCCCCAAGTTGAAGCTTATCTTTTGTGATGAGCCCTTCTATGTAGACTTTTCTCACACTGTCTTTCTTGGGATCAAAATAGATCATCAGAACACAAAACAGTCGTGAACATGCATACAAAGTTTTTGGTGCCAAAACAAACTCACCTGCATTAGTGATACAAATGGCTTCAAAGAAAGAACCATTCAGTTATCCCGAGATCTAAAGTAAAAACCTTGTTGGACCATTAGAACCCACAAATCGATCTTACCAGTACAAGTCAAGGATGTCCAGCAGTTCTAAAGGACATGTGCAGTCTTTGGTAATCTTATAAGATCAAATTTTTCAGATCTAACATGGAAACTCATGACTGCTTCTGCTTGATAAAACTTAAAAAAAAAAATCAATAGAAAACAAATATGTAAAACAGAAATATGTAAAATCAATCGATAATGATCTTTGCCAGATAGCTCTTGATTCTTTTTGTCTTTTTCTTTCATCATTTTTTTTGTAACATAAATTTAGACATTTGTAATGATTATACTTTCGAATTTCGAGTGGGTTTATTCCTTATTTTTATTTGAATTGTGATGTAACCAACTTCAATCGTTCTGCTTCATTTGGCAAATTCAAATTGTGTTTTCATGACTTGTGAAAAAACAGCTTTTAGACGACCGGTTCTTAGTAAACCGGTCCGGTGTCTTAAAGAGATAATAAAGGTCAATACAACATGGCGTAAAATAACTCAAATGGGAAAAATTTCCAATCTCGAATCGATTCCGACTATGAAAAATTAAACCACACTAACCAAAATTCATTAGAATTCGTGAATAAAATTCATGAGTCGGAAAGTGTTTTTGTTTAATAAATAAAACAGGGTTTAGGGCTTAAATATATACAACAGGGTTTAGGGCTTAAACCCTTTTCTTCTTCATCAAACTCCATCTGTTTCTTCCTCTTTCTCGCTTCCATCCTCGATTCAAGTAAGCTTCCTCTTTGACCAGAACGTATATCTCTTTCAAGTAATCTGATTTGTAGCTCTGTTGTTGTATTAATTAATTTTCTTTACCTAGAACAGTCGAGAGATTTAATCGTTTGCAAATCGAAATTTACTGTCCGTTGTTTAGGAATATGTAATCGTTGCCTTATTTTCGCTTGGATTTGTCCTTTCTATATATTCGTCTTTTTGATGATTTATTTGTTGTACCTCAGGTGTACGTTAGCACAAGCTTCCTCTCTCTAATGGCAACTCGTAAGTTTTCTGCAGATAGACCTAGCCCTACTTACGCACGCTCTTGTGTTTACGATATCTTTCGCATGTAGGTCTTCGGTTTGAGAACAGACCTGACATTGGTGTCTTCTCCAAACTCACTAATGCCTATTGCTTAGTCGCTATAGGTGGCTCTGAGAACTTTTACAGGTATGTTTTTGTTTGCTTAGTAGTCAGTCACTCTGTAAACGTTTCAGTTTTGCTTTGTTAATTTTTGTTGATGCTTAATTTGCAGTGCTTTTGAGTCGGAGTTAGCACATGCATGTTATCCCTATTGTTAAGACATCTATTGGTGGAATACAAAGTATTGGGCCTTCTTGTGCTGCTTAGCTTTCTCAACACCTTATAACTGCTTGCTTCAAAGTTCAAATCTTCTTGATATAGTATTTTCCCACAATTGCCTAATGAACGTGGCTTTTTTTTCTCCATATAGGAAACAAAAATGGGCTTCTTGTGCCTCATACAACCACTGACCAAGGTAATACTACATTCTTATTTTGTTGAACATGATTATTCTTTTCTCCATTTACTTTCTTGTAGGGTAAGTGATGAGTCTTTTTTTTTATATTGGCTCTGTAGTAAGTTTTAAGCTTATGGTTTTTAACTTTGGACCGTGACAGAGCTTCAACACTTGAGGAACAGTCTACCTGATCAAGTTGTGGTCCAGAGAATCGATGAACGTCTCTCTGCTCTTGGAAATTGCATTGCCTGCAATGACCATGTTGCTCTTGCGCACACTGATCTTGACAAGGTAAAGATATGTCCTGCACAACTTTTACCGTTTGTCTATTGGATGATTTTATTATATCTTGGCATGTCAATGGTGCTGTTGTTACCTATTATTATGCTTTTTGGTATGTTGGTTTTTCTGGATTGACAGGAAACTGAGGAAATAATAATAGCCGATGTTCTTGGTGTTGAAGTTTTCCGTCAGACAATTGCAGGCAATATTCTTGTAGGCAGCTATTGTGCCTTGTCCAACACCGGTGGAATTGTAAGATATATAGTACCAAACATAACCAATCCCTTTCGATAATCATGCAGCTAAATTTGTATTCTTCTCAAATAGGTCCATCCTCAAACCTCAGTGGAAGATTTGGATCAACTCTCAACACTTGTTCAAGTCCCTCTGGTTGCGGGTATGATCGTTAATGACTGGACTGCTTTCTGCGGCCCAGACACAACCGGAACAGAGCTCTCTGTTATAGACAGCATCTTCAAGCTATTATCGACGAGATGAGGAAATCTTTGATCGATACCTATGTTTAAAATTTTGCTTTCTTTGGATGACACACACAATATTATCATCCCCAAGTGTCAATGTCATAAATTTTCAATTCTTTGTAGGCTCTCAATATCTCTACTGTTGCAAAAATTGGCTTGTTTTCTTTTTTTTTCTTGTGTGGTTTTAAAGGTTTACAAGTTATCTCTTGTCTTGTTGAATTTTTTTGACCACGTACCTAACATATCGGATCAAGACAGCTCAACGGTCGAAGCTAACGATGAGCAACGAGAAAATCCAAGAAAGAATCAACGTAACGATCTTGTCTATCCAAATCTCCAAACACTCCTTTCATATCCTTCACATTCTCTCTATAGACCTTACCTTCTTCTTCCTCCATTACCAATCTCAACGATTTCGCAACATTTTCTTTAGTGAAGAAACCTTCTGTCTCATCCCGAGGGATCATATACCCAAATTTCTTCTCCTCGCATAAAATCCTTGGTCATACACAAAAGCCAGCATCACCATCGGTTTAGCAAACCGTATAGCTTCAATTATTGAACTCCAACCGGAATGAGTCAGTACCAAACCAATCGAATCATGGTTCAATGTTCTCAATTGCTCAACCCAACCTCTCCACACAGAGCCGTGCCCAGATATTTGGAGCCCGTAAACAGTAAAAAAAAAAATAAGGCCCCAAAATAACGATTATCATCCCAAATTTATATAAAACTCATTCAAATAAAACAAATAATAAGCATGTGGTTCCAAAGTTATAACCATCATAATCCCAAATAAATAAATAAAAAACCATAACAAAAACCAATATATCAGTTTTAAAACATAACCTTTCTTTCCTTATTTCCAACAAAATCATTAACCAAGCTTTCCTATAATAAAAAGATACTTAACAATTAGCAAATACCTTCTGTTTATCGTTTGTTTTGTTCTGAATAGGGAAAAAAGAAGTTGAGAAGTCTCAGAACTTTCGATAGAGAATAAAAACCCTAATATTTTATTATAGTTTAAATGAATTGATAATTAGTTGCTAAAACATTTTTTATTACTACTAAATATATATGAGACTATTAATATTTTGGGCCCTTCAATTTTTATAAAAAATTTGGGCCCATAAACCAATGTTTCAAATTTTGTGCCATGGGCACGGCCCTGTCTCCACACCATCCCTCTCTCAGCCGTACGCTCTTCGAATCCTTCCGGAAGCTCAACCGGTTCAGTATCCCATGGACCACGGCGAGTCTTTAACACCCAGAAAAAAGGTAAACCGGAAAGTTCTAAACCGAGAGCGATTGAATTTATCTCGGTTTGACTCGGTTTAGCTTCTGAACCAAAACCTACGTAGACAACGGGAAAACGGTCTATTTCCCCATGAGAAGTATGCATATCACGCCAGATAGAGCCCGTTCTTTGACCTCGGTCTATATGTCCATGAAACGGAAGTTATATACCTATTTCTCCCCAAAACGTAAGTTCAATAGCTAAATCTCCCTGAATTAATACTTCGAGATCTATTAATCCACATGTTTGGGTTTTGTCGGTTTAATGTACACCAATCAAAAATTAACCCTAACCCGACCGACCCATTAATGACCCGATCCAACTTCTTCTTCTTCACTTGAAAATATTTGGACATGAAGAGATGTGCCTCTTCTTTATTCCAATTTTGACAAAAACAAAACCCAGTTTTTGAAATTGGGTGAAGAAGAGAAGAAGAAGATGAAAGAAGAAGAATGGGATTGGGTTTTGTGTTTTAATCGGGTCAAAATCCTTAGTTCAGTTTCTTAAGAGGGAAATCGGCGGTTATGGTAAAGGTAAAGGTCGTGGTGGTGGTGTAAGAGCTGATTCTTCGATGTGCCTCTTCTTTATTCCAATTTTGACAAAAACAAAACCCAGATTCTGAAATCGGGTGAAGAAGAGAAGAAGAAGATGAAAGAAGAAGAATGGGATTGGGTTTTGTGTTTTAATCGGGCCAAAATCAGGTTTTCTTTGGTTATATACGGTTAAGTAAACTTAAACCAACAAAACCCAGACATATGGATTAATAGATCTCGAAGTATTAATTCAGGGAGATT